TCATCCTAAGTACTACATTGTGACACAGTACTCCTTACTCAAACAAAAGAACAAAGTTCACTTAGGGCCTTTTTGGGCCCTATGAATTTATGAAAAATCAAAACTGTTCAGTTGTAGTTGAAAATTCTCTTGGACCCTTGGTGACTCTATATCTTTTAAAAAGTAAGTATTTTTCTTGCTAGTCCATGTATTATGACGTCATTAATATTGTGTCATTATCCTGAAAATTTCTTTCAAAATGGCCAAAAAGCTGTTTTTCAATATTTTGCATAGACCCCAACCTCTGATCCAAAATGTTCCATTATATAATGAAAGAAGACTACAAGATTGTTTCATTTTTTGTATTAAGGGAGGGGGGCTCATATTTTAATTGTTTGCTGATGGAACTCAAATAAAACCATTTTCTTAAAAATTCAAGAACATCTCAATTTCACAGTCTTTTTTTCCAGTACCTGTACTCGCAGAGGAAACCTTTTTATAGTCTTTACTTTGTATTGATGTTTGAAAAGGGACATTGGGGTCAGTTAATTGGTATATGGATAGGGCTATTTACGGATAAAGTGAACCTAGCTCTTTCATCATAATTGTCATAAGAAAGAAAAACGAATGTAACTTTAAAACAATACTCGTGTCGCCCGCGTGGCGCAGTGGTTAGAGCGTCTGCTCTAGAGTCGCGGAGTAAGGAGTGGATCCTTACGTCGCGGGTTCGAATCCCACTGTGGGACGTGGAGACCGGTCCTTCGGATGAGACCGTATAAACCGAGGTCCTGTGTCGCAGTAGGTGCTGGCACGAAAAAGATCCCTCACTGCTCAATGGCCGTAAGTGCCGAGTATAGGACAAAATTTGCAGCTCTCCTTCGGCAAATGGTGGCCTCTCCATATGAGTGAAAAATTCTCGAGAGGGACGCTAAACAACATACAACATACAAACAAAGAACAATACTCGTTACTCAAATAAAATTACCGGTATATCAAATAATTGTTAATAGAAAGAAGAAAGAATAGAAAGAAGTACTTTTCCTCGGGAGTACAAATATGAAGGTTTTTCAATGAGGTATTTTAAATTGGATCAAATGATTTATTTTAGTAAACTCAGATGCAAATTTTGGCAAAACATTTTAAGGCAAAACTAGATACAGACATTAAACACTGTGAATTCGTGTCCATGACCCATTTCTTCTGTAAGATAGACATAAATCATTTATTTGAAATCTTCACCTTTTTCATTATTTGAAGAAAGAAGTCCTACTTAATTTATTAATATCAACCAAGAAAATGGCAGACATGCTCTCGTTGAATTAACCAATTAAAAAGATTTTTTTTAAAAATACGTATTCTGAGAATGGGCTTCATTTTTCTTCTCACGTGTCCAAAAATTGTTATATCTTGATCCAGAACTCTCAAATACACTTAATACTTAAAAGATTTTGTGTTGAGAAGAATAGGTATTAGATTGGACAAATTATCCAAATTCATTTTTATTTGCACAAACATATGACCTTGTCAGCAAATACAATTATCATTAAGTCATATGCTGACTGACGTTTTTCATACTAATAGTTAGGCCATTTTTACGCACCAAACAAAAATTATCTTATTTAAGTTGATTCTCTAGCATGTACCTTCTGTAAACATGACATAGAAACAATTTGTCACTTGTTCGTTGAATGCCTTCAATGAAAGAACGGTAGAGCATTGAAGAATGCAATTTTAGAATGATTAACTAGCAATGCATAATCTACCAATACTTTGTGCTTGTTTTATCTCTGCATTTAATTATAAAAGAGTCCAAAATTAAGAGTTAACACTTTGAAGACACTCAAAAAATGAAATTATAATATAGGTGTACTGCTGTTAAAAAAAATTATAGAATTTGAAAGGAAATACCTGGAAAAAATGAGGTCCTTGATGTTACGTTTATTCTTATTTGTAATAGGCTTATCCAATGTATACTTTCTTTTGGTACATTGTAAATTAATTACTTTTGAATTCTAACAATTCTTTTTATTGATTTCCATCTCATACTTTCTTTCATATGCATTTTTCACGTGTATACATAAAGATATGTCATAAAATATTAAAATCATGCAAATTTGCTTGATATATTGTATATAAACTGGTGTATGTCTATCAAGAGATGCATACAATTAAATGTAATTGTTTTTTTTTTAAAGAAGCAAATATTTAAAAATTGAAAGGAACTGGTGAGAAAATGTGATGTTTTGGGATTGATTTAATAGGGATTTATAAAGAAATCATCGAATATTCCGTCTGTTTTGAAGGATACACATATTCATAGAAATGCAGGTGCGAATCCAGGATTTTTTTCAGGGGGTGGGGGGGGGGGGGTGTCTACCCCATTCAAAGAATTTCCAACTCAGAAATCTCTTAACAAGCCAAATAAAAAAAAAACAAAAAAAAAACGTAAAATCCCCCAAAAGTGAAAAAAACTATTACATGGTGGTGGGGTCCACGTTTTCTAGGGGGATCATTTTTTTTTTTATTTCCTTCAGTATTACTATATATTTTTAATAACTCCTCAAACACTCCCCGTCTAGATCCTCGCATGGAAATACATGATTTATACCTTTTCTCGTTCTGTTTCATGCTTTCAAAATAAGATGTACTTGCAATTATTAAGTGTACATTCCAAAAAAAAAATAGATTTTAGGTTCAATAGGAATTTTTATTTAGTAAACATATTAAATGCATACATATCATTATGCTCAAAGGAATGGTTAAGATGTAATACAGGATTTTCACCAAATGACGCACTAATAAGCAGTACAAATAAAGGACTCTCGCTAGATTTGCAGTAGAAGTCGCCAAATGGAATCATTTATAAGCATTGAAAAAATAGATTCGTAGACAAAAATAGTCACCAAATGGAATCATTCATGAGCATTGAAAAAATAGATTCGTAGACAAAAATAGTCACCAAATGGAATCATTCATGAGTATTCAAAAATTGATATGTAGACATAATTGTCATCAAATGGTATCATTCATGAGCAATGACAACAGTGTCTTTGTTTGTAAGGCTCGTTATTTGAACTGTATTTTAGAGGAACTAAGATTTAATTCTGCAAGTGGTAATCCGACTTATACCCATAGCTCCCTTTCTATGGAAGAAATTCTTCAGAACCATATGTCAGTTTTAAATATTTTAATATTCCTTACAATCAAAATGAATTTGAATTACCATACCTATACTGGATTCCGAAACTCTATAAAAATTCTTACAAACAAAGATACATAGCAGAGTCCAGTAAATGTTCTACCAAGCCTCTTTCTTTACTCCTCACTAAAATATTTACAACCGTGAAGGAGAAACTTCAGGAGTACTGTACAAAAGTACATTCGAGAAGTGGTGTAAATCAGATGTGGATACTTAAACACTCCAAGGAACTTTTAGAAAATCTAAAATCGCAAAATTTTAACATAATCAATAACATCAAAACGTGTGACTTTTCAATACTTTATACAACCTTTCCCCACGAAAAATTAAAGTCCAGGCTTTTTGACATCATAGACAGCTGCTTTTTTCAATAAAAATGAAACTCGTAAATGTCTTACCTTGTCATTGGTCATTTACCAAATTATTTTGTTAAAAAGCATTCTAATTGTACACACAAGTAATCTCGGGTTGATATTAAAAAAGATACTTGAGTTTCTGATTGACAACATCTATATTGTTTTTGGAGATCAGGTCTTTCAACAATCTGCCGTAACTCCCATTGGTACCAATTGCGACCCCTTGTTAGCAGACCTATTTTTGTATTCATATGAAGCAGAATTTATTCAAAAACTTCTACATCAAAAGAAGAAAACACTTGCTGTGGCCTACAAGTCGACATTTAGATATATCGACGACGTATCATCAAGTAACAATAGTTACTTCCAATCATATGTCGACTCGATATATCCCAGCGAGCTTGAAATAAAAGATACCACAGAGTCTGATACATCTGTTTCATGTTTGGATATTTTACTAGAAAAAGACTTTAATGGTAACTTAACAACAAAGCTTTATGATAAATATGATGACTTCAATTTTTCAATCGTCAACTTCTCTTACTTGTGTAGTAATATACCCTTATCCCCTGCATATGGGGTTTTTGTCTCCCAGTTGATTCGATAGACAAAAATAGTCATTAAATGGGATCATTTATGAGCATTGAAAAAATATATTCGTAGAGAAAAATAGTCATTAAATGGGATCATTTATGAGCATTGAAAAAAATATATTTCTAGAAAAAATTAGTCATCAAATTGGATCATTCATGATCATGATAAAATAGATTCGTAGAAATTCGTCTCTCTCTCTCTCTCTCTCTCTCTCTCTCTCTCTCTCTCTCTCTATACATATGTATCACTGACGTCATTTGCTTGAATAAAAACACTGTTTATCGAGTTTTAGTTCCATAGTCCTACGCAGTTAGAGTGATCTGATCTCTGATGCAAGATAGAATAAACGGAAATCCACTGCAAATGACACAATTTGAAATAAATTAAAGTATTATTAATATTATATTAAACCAAAAATAAAGTAATTGAATACATCATTTCCATGTATTTTCCCAACGCAGTAAACAAAATTGATTTCTGATCGCAAATACTTCATTGTCGAACATTTTTCTTGGAAAAATATGGCAGATACATAAAACTAAAAATTAACTAGATATACTCCATTTGTACACCTTTATATGATGTCCAAAGAATCATTTTCATTAGTGTTTAGAACTTTCTTAATAAAATATAATAAGTATTTATATATCTCTCATAGTTTAAATTTCAGTTTTCTATTTAATTTGTTATTTTTTGCAAATGGTTTCAAGAAAGTGTTGAGTACAATTTGGATGTTTATTCGAACATAAATCTAAAATGTCATTTCAAGACAGACCAAGCTGACTTTTTTGTGATGTCTTTATTAATTTTGTACAGGTATTTTCCACTGATGGACTAAATATTTTGCTTAAAGGCTCATTAATCAATTCTGTTCACGGTTTAACAGGTCTTTGTAAATGGGTCGAATTATCCGCTTGAAGCATATTGTTTTGAAAGATATTTTCCATATTCTTGTCAGTTTGTTCGCATAAAGGATTTTCATACGCCACAAAATGTTTCTTGCCTCCATCTTTTCTCCTTTTCTGTTTGTACGACAGGGAATATACCAACCTGTCAAGAAAGATGGCATCGTCTCTATGAATATATGTAAATGTCTTTAAACATGTTTTTAAAACTTTAGGCATTTCTTCCTCTGCTATGTCCTCAAACAAAATCACTAATAAATGACGTTTCTTTTCACTTAAGCTCTGTCGAAGAGCTTCTTCAAATTCATAGAGGCAGTAACTACTGTCCAGAAAGTGCCTTGACACAATGACTATGGTGTGTCTGCTGCTTTCAATGCTGTCTATGATGTTTTCTGTTATGGTTTTACCCGCCATGAAATCTCTGTGATGTAAACAAAATTTGAAACATTTCAACTTTTCAATGGAATCGTCTTCAAAGACGCTTCTGACCCATTCATGATCTTCGTTGCTGTAGGACACGAAAGCATCGAATTTTTTGTCTTCAATCGTTTCATCTTGCTGACAGGGTAGTACGACATTAAATCTTGTATACAATAAAATACGAATTTCCTGTCTAAATCTCACCATAACAACAATAATCACAAGCAGAAGAACAGAGATTACAGTGAGAGGAATCACTGCCTCTATAAGAATGGATCGGGTTAATTTTCTGTGGAAACTACACATTAGTTGACTTTCTTGTAGGTCCTTTAGAGCCGTTCCATTTAGGCGTGCTGGATAAAGGCATGTCATCTCTCTTATGTATTCATATCTTTGATATTCTGGTTTTGTCCACTTTTCTTTTTCCTGGACAAAAACAATTAATTCCTTCATGTCCTGAGAACACACACAGTTCAGAGGATTGTGGCTGAAATTAACGAACATTCCTTCCTCCTGAATCAACTTCTCTAAGACATCTACCTGTAACTCCGTTATGTTGTTATGGGTAAAGTTGACCACCAATACCTTTCCGGTCGGTTGTTTAGTAAGTGAATCGATATCTATGTCAAGTTTCTGTATATTGCAGTGGGACAGGTCCATTAATTTTAGCTTGGGAAAGTACTTATCTATATCATCAAATAGTTCCGAAACAGAGCTCATATCTGTGAATGAAAAATTCAATGTCTGAAGAACAGGGTAACGTGATGTCTCTTTTTTAGTGTTGATGTAAAATTTTCCGGGTGTTGTATTTATGCTATAATCAAGAGTTTGCATCTTTGAGTAGTTACAGATATGTTGAATTTTAAAGGTGTCATAGTGCATCTTCTGGGCTCCGCGGAGTACAGGCTCGTCACTGATATTGTACATTTTCTTTTCTCGTCCAACCATATCGTTGTACCTTTTCGCAGAATCGCCAAAATTGTAAGTTCGATTGCTCAGAATTCTTGTGACAACACTTTCATCATTTCCACAGTGGCAGTCGTGAGTGATGTTTGCTATAATCCCACCCAAATACATCATCTCAAAAATATCGGCCATGATCACGACATCAGTTAAAGCAATATACTCCATTTCATCCGGAAATGGGATTATCACGTGATTTATACAGTCGCTGTAATAATCCTCTATAACACATTTATCTACCCTAATTTCTATCAGATTCTTTGCCTTGGCTGGGCTGATCAGTGAAATATTAGCTCCATTTAGACATTCCACATCAAATCTATATTTCATTTCTCGAGATTTAATGTAGTTCCTAAGCTCGCCAAAATTCCAGCGTCCTGAATTGTTTCTGTCAATAAGACACACAAACTGTAAGGTCGTAAAGGAACTTCCGCCATTCTTCTCGGTACAAAAGTCATCCCAACCCGGCGGAAGCGGAGGGGTTGAGTTATTTGTAAACGTTTGGTTCAATTTCCTGGCAGTCATTTCATTTGGACTTAATTTCTGGGACGTTTCAGTTGGATTTGTTTGAGATATAGTAAAAAACAGTAGACTTAATAATATCCATCTTCCAAAGAAACAACACAAAAGGTACATCTCCATTCAGTTATACAAGCAGGTCCTCTTACTTAGTTATTTAAAGAATTAATAAACAGGTAAATGTTTCGAAATGTCTTCTTCAAGTTAATTATTTTCAAGACTTCATTTTTTTCGTCAGCGACATTTGATGCATGCATTCTGCCAGACGGTCGTTGTACAATCTGCCTACGGACAAAATTAGAAAAGAGCTGGCGTTATAATTAAATATTTTAATGAAGTGACGTAAGTCAACCCCCAACCTGAGATGCCTACTGTAACTGTTATTTCAGATCTTGCTTTAATCTAACTTTGTGTGGTAGCTCATATATTAACCATTTATACAGAAAAGCAATGAAATTCACAATCAAATTTACTTATGCTTGTCCTGTGATGATTTTAGAATCATGGCCTTCAATTTTATAAATAAAAGTTAATTGAAATTAAAATTTTAATTTGGTATGGGCGGACCCCCAATTATATCATACAGTAGACATTCCGAGAATTATCTGTCAGTATATCATAATTTTCAAAGTATTTTAATTATTGAAAAGTGAAAGCATTATGGTCATATTTTACATTCGTCAATCAAACTTAATTGCACAGGTATTCACGTGTGTTCAAGATTGACCAAACATTTAGTTTATGCATTTATTTTCATTATTGGAAAAAAAATACGTTAAAGGCATTTTAGTGTTTTGCATTATAATCCGAAATCGATCAAGTGCAGCGATTGTCAAGAATATCGCATTCAGTGAATGTGACATTGTGAATAATTTGTTAGAATTAAACAACCATATCTCAAAATCAGGAAGAGGGTTTTTAAACAGAAAATATCCTTAACTATATAGACAAGCTATCTTGATGCATATGTACAGAGGTTGGGGAAAAAAAGGTAAATGTATTGTAGAAGCCAAATTTCGCTCCTCTTTTGACGTAATAATCAATCCAGAGGCATAACCACTCAAAACTAACATTGATTTTGATACATAGCATAAGTAAAAGCTTAAGGAGAGTGATATGTTACCTCAATTTTCCGAATTTCCCAAGTTTTGATGAATTTTCATCAAATTCTATTTACTGCTCTGGAGAACAAGGAATCACAGACGAAATATATATGATACTAGTACATATAAGATCAAAAGACTAGCGTGTGGTCTATGTTTAGTAAAGCAAGCTATATTTGAAAATTGACAAAATATCAATAAAAATCATGGAACTTTGAAAATTTCGTCTGTGATCTTCCTGTAACTTTTATTTGTCAATTAAGATCAATTCTGATTTTAAACAGGCCTAATCAAAGTTATTTACGAGCTATTGCATTGCTCCGAGTGTCCACCAAAAAGGAGGCCAGAAAGGGACTTCAGCGTACCTTGTTCTTTTATTACGCATCATGTTTCAAAATTTCCCTTTTTGTCTCGATTCTTATCTATTTTTTTCATTTAATTTTGTACTTTGATAAAGAATTTTGTCCATTTCACAAAATCATGTTCAAAATGAATACTACGGTGAAAATTAGTTGGTACGTTTGATTTTTTAAACTAACATTGAAATGTTGAGTAAGCTGTCATTTCCACATAACTCATCGAAACACACCTGAATTCCCCACACATCGTCATCTGACTTCAGGTAATTAAGAAGTTCAGATGTCAAACTTAAATAATCTTCCATTGTCAAAAAAAGTAAAGGCCTAGAAGTCATTAGTTACACGTCAAGGGACTGGAGGATAAGAATTTATGATGTATTTGTAAACCCCAAGGGATATTTACATCATCTGAATTCTTAACCAACTGTTTGGATTTTTATCAGAAATGCAAAATAAAGCAGCTTACTATTAAACGTAAGTGTTATAGGTAAAATTCAATAAGGGATTTTCACTTTTAAACAAAACCTAAAATTCAAATTCGTATGTTCGTCTGAAGCTGACAAGTCCTATACAGAATTAATACAAGGGAATTTGTTACGTTTCTAGAGGCGCCCCTAAAGTTGAATTTGTTAGGTTATATATATATATATATATATATATATATATATATATATATATATATATATATATATATATATATATATATATATATATATATATATATATATATATATATATATATATATATATATATATATATATATATATATATATATATATTTTCTCTTTTCTTAACTTTTCTTATCAAATCGCTTTCCCTTTAATCATACGCTGTATTGTCATGACAAAGTCGGTGTTTAAGATCAGAATTAAGGCTATGAGGTGAAATCTGAGTGCAAAACTCGCGAAAGTCATTGTACATAGTACAATCATTTCCCAAAATGTGCCCGAAATTTAATCATTACGTTTCAAAACAATCCTTGTCTTATGTATGTAAATTTTGTCCGTACCTGCTAATTAATTTCGTTTTCTGCGAGAAGACTATTGTATTGTAGTGACATGTGTAGACCTTCCCCTTAAATAATTTCGACATTTTTTTGCAGTCAATTAGTCATAAAAAGAGTAACTATTGTTTTTTGTGCATGTAATCCATTACCGTCATTAAAAAGTAAATAGCATTGTTTCTTTTGGAAGGTGGTCAAATTTCAATTGAATGATAGACTTTGTACATTAAATACATGTATGTTGATTGATTGATTGTATGTTATTTTACGTCCCGTTCGAGAATTTTTCACTCATAGAGACGTCACCATATACCGTTGAAGGGCCTTTACTCGGCACTCAAGACCATTGAGCATTGAGGGTTCTTTATCGTGCCAACGCCCACCGTGACACGGGGCCTCCGGTTTTTAAGGTCTCATCCGAAGGACCCGCAACTTTCACTTCAAAGCGCCGAGCGCTTGGCGAAGGAACAGTTGCTACCTATTTTTTATCGACTTAGGTCAGTCGAGGCCGTGATTCGAACACACGACCTTCCGCGATTATACGTATACATGTATGTAATTATAGACGAATTCCATTTCATTTTAACAACTAAATTGTCATCTTTGCTAGCCAAGGATTTCTGATCCGCTACTCTCCTCACAAACCCTTGGCCTACGGTGCTGAAAAAAAATTGTGATTTTTTTTTTCTCGAAATGTGATTGGAATTGATTGAATCAGCAATTTGCTTTTTGACTACGTTCGGGATATATCTTGACTCTGTAGTCTCGGGAACGAAAAGCACAAGTAAACAATTCTATAAATAGCTATGGTGTCATCCAATCTTAAGTTTATATCATCAGGATTCTATATAGCAGATGAAGATTTGCACGCTAAATAACAAATTTATAAAGCATTGCTCGATACCTTCTTGTTAATTATTCTCCAAAAACTTATTTTTTGAATTCGGTTTTTATTTCTGTCGATGACGCAATCGTGCGTATATGGTAAGATTCGAGATCACGTGACATAAACAAACCCGACTTTTGACAGCACCATAGGCCAAGGGTTTGTGAAAAGAGTCCCTTGTCTAGCGAAGATGCTAATTTGTATGACAAACGAGATGACTTCAGCTTTTTGTAGTAATATTCCGCTATCACCTTCATATGGAGTTTACGATTCCCAACTTAATCGATACTCAAGAGCATGCTCTGAGTAGGACCAATTTTTAAACCGTGGCAGGCTTCTGACAGATAAGTTGATGTCACAGGGATTTTAACAACCTCGTTTAAATAAAGCATTTTGTAATTCTATGGTCGTTATAATGACCTTGTTAGCAAACATAACATATCATTGGGTTGGCTGACGTATTTCATACCAATTGTTAGGTCTTTGTTTTTATACTAAATTTGACTACGGAATGTTCCGTCAACCTGATCAACACATAGGACTCGAGGCGGGTGTGACCGTCAAACAGGGGATGCTTACTCCTCCTAGGCACCTGATCCTACCTCTGGAGTTTCTGGGTGTCCGTGTTTTTATGCCATTTTCACAGATTTGTATTTCTTGTAGATTATTTTGGGAGCGATCACCGTTTGTGATCTTCACCTCTTTTCATTGCTATTATATTATGTACATATGTATACCTCTCTCTTTTGTGTGTATCATATATACGTGTATTTTTCTTTTCACTATTGAGCTCAATGACGATTTGTTATATATATTGTACTTCCTGTACAACTGATTGTTAATGTGAGTGTAATAAATGAACTTAATGATTTATCTTACAAATTAAAACTTTTAACGTATGTTATTAATTTTATCGTAAGATGTGTGTGTTATGAGCATAACTTCAATTCTTCAAAGTTCGCAAAGCAGAATATGTTTTCTAAACCCACCTAATATTAAGAGCAACTGAAAATACTTTTTAAATGACCATTTATTGTTCTTTGATATATACAGTGTACTGCAGCAGTTTTCAACAGTTGCCTAATTCTCATTAGAAGTAAAGAAAATCAGGCAACCTGTAAATTTATCTCGATGCGGCCATTGCCAACAGTAACCATCCCTTTTTTTTCTCTCGTTATCACAAAACATAAGAAATATTAGCTAGTACTTGGCTTCGTTTAAGGTCGTAGCAGCTAACCTAGCAGCTAGGTGGTAGATATTCAGCTCTCCAGAACGAGCTGCTCCCCTAGTCGCTAGGTGCTAGATTTTGGATTCAAGTATCAAAGTTATAATTATAACAATGTGAGCTGAATTTAAGCTAAAATGTATACTGTAAATATTACTAAATAACCGTTTAATTAACTAAACTAGTACTGGAGAAAACAACCCCAATTTCCGTTAATTGGTAACTTATGAGATCCGAGGGTAACTCGGGAGGCCATCTTGGATTTGGTACCTAGCATAAACTTTATGCTAGCTTTCCCTACGTAGCGGCTAGGCTAACATATCGTTCAAGATCGTAGCTTTACGTATAGGCTACGTAGCGGCTAAAATCTTGAAAACAGTTGTTGACTCCATCATAACGGGTTCCTTTCATACGCTTCATTAAGTACTTTTACATGACATTTTAAATTAAGTTAACGGGCACATTCAACATTTTTAAAAATAAAAATGATTATTTGTCAAACGTGGACTACGGAAATGGCAGGCCTAGGCTCGGAACGGGTAAAAATAACTTCAATCGAAAAATTATCAATAAATCCTCCCTCAGATTAAAGTACATTAATTTTCATTTCAAAAATAAAATATTTCTGTGTATCATCTAGCAGAAAATGAGTTGAACTGTGTCTTGTTTTTCCGCTTCTGTACATAAAAGGTTGTGAGAGGATTTTTACTGTTTAATGTATTCTGAGGCATCCTTCACTACTGTAATAAACAGACCAAGTATCGTACAACATTTTTGTGGGATTTAAAAAATATAAAGGGAAACTTTATTCCATGAAAATAAAAGTCGTGTAAAGTCATGTTTAGAAACTAGAGAATTCTAACACCCCTCTTTTTGAAAATAAAAAAAAAAGTTTTAAGGAAGTAATAATTTGTGGTGAGCTATTTTTGGTTAAAATGGATGGATAAAGGGGGATTATGATATTCTCGTTCAACTATGAGATATTTCTTGTCTAGTCTCTTGAATTGTTTGGTTCTTTTGTTGTTCTTATTTATTTATTTATTTATTTGAGACTTGGATCGCAAATTTTGTAAAATAATCTTGATGACGTCTTATTACATCTTTCATCAAAAATCAAGTTCAAAGATGAGCTTTTTCAGACAATAGCCCCAGAAGGTTTTTGTGAGGAAAGTTTTCCTACGGAAAGCATATAATTTAAAAACCAATTTGTAGTTTCTGAAATAATGCACTCTTTCTTGTCAACTATTCTCATTATCTGAATTGATAAGCCTATTCTTGTGCAGTAGAGGTCCATAGGTCAAAATGTTAACCTAATTCATCTTGTACTCATGGTGGCATATATCTGTCCCCTACTTGTCAGATACTTACGTCGACTTGTCAGATCTTTTTGTTAACTTGTCACTTATTCACGTGTTTAAAAATTCAACATCAAAATGTGTCAATGCCCAGTTTAGGCCATCAGTTGACAACATATTTTTCTGACAAGTTGACATAAGTATCTGACAAGTCAACATAAAGATCTGAAAAGTTGATATATTATCTGACAAGTCAACAATTTTCTGACAAGTTGACATAATATTCTACAAGTCATCATCATTATCTGACAAGTCGACATAACATCTGACAAGCCAACATGTCAGAAAATTATGTCGACTTGTCAGATAATGATGTCGACTTGTCAGAAAAATATATTAACTTGTCAGAAAATTATGTGGACTTGTGTGATATTATGATGACAAGTAGATGTCAGTCAGTGGCTTTAACACACTGTAATAACAAAATTATGGTGGCATATTTCTGCCCTCTACTTGTCAGGTGATTATGTTGACTTGTCAGTTCTTTTTGTTGCCTTGTCAGATAATTATGTCGACTTGTCAGATCTTTTTGTTAACTTGTCTCTTTATTCATGTGTTTAAAAATTCAACATGAAAATGTGTCTTTGTCCATTTAAGGCCACCAGTTGACGAATACTTTTCTGACAAGTCAACATAAGTATCTGACAAGTCAAAATAAAGATCTGACAAGTCAACATAAAGATCTGAAATCTGACAAGTCAACATAAAGATCTGAAAAGTTGAAATGTTATCTGTGAGGATGATCTGACAAGTCAACAAAATTTTCTGACAAGTTGACATAATTTTCTACAAATCAACATCATTATCTGACAAGTCAACATAACATCTGAAAAGCAGACTTGTCAGAAAATTATGCTGACTTGTGTGATATTATGATGACAAGTAGATGTCAGTTAGTGGCTTTAACATGCTGTAATAACAAGATACCGAGTTTCTGGTCGTGTTGATTTTTATCTGACAAGTTGACATAATTATCTGACAAGTTGATATAATATCTGACAAGTCAACATAAACATTGACAATCGACAGAAACATCTGATAAGTGGTGGCAGAAATATGCCACCATACAAAATACCGAGTTCCTGGTCGTGATGATTTTTTATCTGACAACTCGACATAATTATCTGACAAGTTGACATAAATATCTGGCAAGTCAACATAATCATCTGACTAGTTGATATAAACATCTGACAAGTGGTGGCAAAAATATGCCACCATATGTACTCCTGAGAAATGAAAATACTGGATTTGCACTCCATTACATTGCCTAAACATGTAAATCTGTCTTTATTTCTCTCTCTCTGAAAAGAGTTGTCTGCCCCTTATTGTTATCCTGAAGATCATCAGATTCCATGGGTTTTACACAAGCCATTCTCAAAATGGGCAGTGGTGGATACAAAACTTGTAGCTTGCATCAGTATGGAAAATGGATTAGACTAAACTAAAATAAACATTTTATGGTCATTAGATAGACATCTTTTAGCTTTCTCATTCTGGAAAATATTTCAATTACAGAATAATCTAAAAAATACTCTCATGTAATCATCAAACATTGATTCCCTAAAATGATTCTATCTTGGCACTGGCAAACAAGTCTTGAATTCATACTAAATAAAGTTGCTTGCATATTATTAAGTATTTAACAACAAAAATTACTGCACTGTTACTGGCATTCAAAGGAGTATTCTTTTAAGAAAAAAATGGTACATTCTGACTAGGGTTGTCCCTAAGAATTGAAATAGTAAGGGACATTAAAAAAGTAGAAGGGTATCATTCCCTTACAGGGGGTTGAGGGGGAATCCCAGAATAAATGGGGGATTACATCACTATAGGCAGGGAAACTCCCTGGCCTCCGTGTCTTAGGGACAACCCTGCATTCCCATACAGAACTTTCAATCCCTATTATGGCTGAACCATGGCTCTGAAGGACAGATATGAACCATGCCTTGAATCTTTTATGTAGGAACTCTTATATGTGCATACAACAGTATTAATCTGACTGAAAAATAAAGTTACCAACGCGATAAAAAATTTGGTTTCAAAAAAATTGCCATTAACAACTTGCAAAGTCTTTTCTTTAATATAAATATGATATGATTTCATAGATCTAAGATTAAAAAAACCCACAAATTGATTCAAATGGCTATCTATTTTAAAGGTAAATGACATTTATAAACTTCAAAGTTATGGTTTAAATCTTTTTCAGTGTGAATCTGAAATCTTGAACCAAGTCCTCCATCCTCATGAGAGTGAATATAAAACACCCTTCCAATTCTAGAATGCACTAATGCCATTGCACACATAACACATGGTTCAGTGGTTGTGTAAAGGTCAAAGCCAGTACACAAATACTGCATGTCACTCTTGGCCTGCACATTATGCACCTCACTGATTTTTCCTAATGAATTTTCTGACATTTCTCTGCTATCATCCTGCTGTTTTGTTGTAGAGAACTGGTCATCTGAACTGCTTTCTGTGTCAATATCTTTTTCAATATTCCACATTCCTCCACCTTGGTTGTGAGCAATTTTGTCAATACACAACATAACATCATGATGCAAAGGGTGACCTATATGTCTTCTATCACAAGTCTTTGCAAGAACTCTGTCATCTGTGGGATTAACTATCAGTGAAGCACTCAGTGACCTCCCATTTTCCTTGTGTTGAATCACCTCCTGTATGTGTTTTCCCATTTTATTTAGTTCATCTGATGTAAAATAGGACAAGTTTAAAAGTTTTGTCACTTTTTTATCCTCATGAAATGATACTGGCCAGTAGAGTTTTGACTCTTCGTATTGCTTTCTTGTCAGTGGTTTCAGTCTAGGAACTTTGATCAGAAATGGTTTTCCTAAGCAGCTGTATTTTCCTTCTGATAAAACTTTTTCTACATTCGAGTTTGCTCTGTCATGGCAAACAATCACCTGTAGAGGACCATCTTTGCCATTACAAGACCTAACTCTTTTCAGATGTTGCAGGTTCTCCAGTGGAAAATCTTCACATAAGGCCTTAACAACTGATACTGTTTCTCTTTTGTTTTGAATCACAGATGCGTAAATATCAGTTAATTCTACATCCTTTGTATAACGGCTGTCTAAAATGGCTATAGGATGAAAATATGAAACTGTCATCATCAGTCATGCTACCTTGACTGTTAAAATCAACACAGGATATGGAAAGCCGAAAGGTATATCAAAATAGAGCGTGGACAATTAATTTCCGGTTCTCTAACAATTATTTATAATAAAAATTAAGAATAAAAAAAATTAAATTAATTGCACACCTTCGTTATCAATACAATAAATTATACAATGTACATGAAATCGCAAAAAAAAACAACACACACACACACACACAAAAAGAAGAAGAAAAAAAACTAAAACGATCCAACAAACAACATCGGGGTCGTGATTCAGAAAAATATTTGGCCTTCACCTTTTGTCGTCAAGAAACAAGACCAAAAAAGAAGATGTGATAAAAGACATCAATTTGAACAAGATGGAGTCTTAAGAATATGTTTTAAGTCGTGATAAAGCAAGTGTATCCCCATGCTAAGGTACTTTGTGTGGTTGACAAACGGGTTAAAAAAATTGTGGGGAAAATTTACAAAGGGCACAGTTTCGTGAATAAAGTAAATTTATTGTTATCATTTATTTGATATCAAGTCATCATACATAAACAATTACTCATAGTCATTTGAAAGACATATTTGTGAAACATAATGTTTCATATAATTATAAATAAATTGAATATTCGAGTAACCACATTTTTAGAAATACAAACCTCGTTATCTCGAACTCGATGGGATTGATAAAAAAAACTTGGAGATAACAGAGTATTTGAAATATCATGGGTAAGATCAATCTATGCGAAAGTCACCGGACCATTGGTTTTTACCGGTAAAATTTGGTTCGGGTCGGTAAAAAAATTCAGGATACAGGACCAAATGTCCGATGAAAAAATTAGGCCTAAAAATCTGAATTTACATGTTCGAATGGTCTTATTTTCCACACATATCCTTCATTCGATCCATTTAGCAGTAATGCATGATTAATTTTAATCTATATCAACCCTGTCATGATCGGTTATTTCTAATTCGAATTTCCTCTGCCATGGAATATAAATCTATAGATAGCTCATACGTAGATTCGGTTGGGTAGATTATTTTCATTATTAAACAAGAGTAACTATTATGAGTTACTTAAGGAAATAAATAAATATATTTTAAAGTGCATTTTAAGTTTAAGAAAAAAAATCTTTGACACTGTATTTTTCGTTTGTATGTGTCAAATAACCAGAAAAAAGAGAAAATTGTATGCATTTGTCATATGTACTACCTTTTAAAAAGGAAACAATAATAAGTTTGTTCATTTCAATAAAAACATTTTTTTAATAATCTCAACTCAGGATCTATTTAAGGTTCAATTTTACAGTGAGAATACACCCCCCTCTTTTCAATCTCTGTGTCATAATGATGTATGAATTTAAAGAAAAAAGTCAGTCTGGTAAGTAAATGCTTGGTCTGGTAAAATATATATTTTTACCAGACCTTATGTCCTGTAAAAATTTTAGACTTTCGCATAGACTCTAAGATAATTAAAGAATAAGTGGTTGGGACTTTGAAATCACTTCGACATATTCATTCAACATATTCAAGATATCAGTGTTGGAGATACTAAAATTACTGTAACTAGGTGATATCCATTAAAGCTCAAGAGCTTATTTCCAATGGGATTCTAAATCATTTCATTATCCGCCCACAAAGGGTTCAGGAGGTATAGTTTACCCATGTCTATATCTGAAAACTTGCTGTCGGATGCAGTAAATCCAAAAAAAAGATAATAAAGACAAGCATGCCAAATATGGTTTTGTAGATAAACCATTTGTAGAAGAAAATGGTAGGAGGCTAGCTGCAGAACTGTAGCATTATGGTTTTATATTTTAGTCGTTGACCATAACGCTACAGATCCCATAATGTAAATAAAGTGCAATTTATGTCGCAAGATTTTCTGGGGATGTATTTTGCCACTTTCCAGCATTGGTCAATTAACAACTTTTCATCCCATAATTCTAGACATATTCTATAACCAACCTATATATTTTATCTACCTCCTAACCCTTTATACAGTCAAACTTTTCATAGCGGTCACCTCTATCCAGCAGTCACCTGTCCTATGCGGTCATTTTATTTCCTCCCAATGATATTTCCTAAATAAAGGAACTCTATTGAGCGGTCACCTGTGTAACGCGGTCATCAAATTTCAAACGAAATCGCCATTTTTCCCTGTCTTTAGCAGCCATTTTGTCCAATCACGTGACCTGATCTGGCATCAGCTGATTCCTAATTTTTGTAACGTAAATAATTGGTCAAGTGTTGCGGGATCATGAACAAAAAATTAATAGACTTTATTTAATAGCAGGAAAAAAAAAACGTTATCGATCATAATAATGAGGACCTGACATTATGGATTTGGAATCAACTTTAAAAAAAGAACAACGTAACCGTATTTATCTATTGATACATGTAAAATTATTTTGTTTCCCATTTACATTGTGTAAGCTAATTACGATATCGCATGCCCAACTCCGAGAGCTGTAAAATGTTTTTACGCATGATAGGATTTTTTTCACACCTAGGAAACTTGTATGATTTGTAGAAACCATAATTACTGTTTATATACACAATGTGGCTTGAGTATGTCATGAATTTCAGAAAGGAAAACGACCGTTAGGGATTAGTAACGCTTCGTTGCTCAGGACACCTGTGCACCTGTTTGATCAACCGAAAGTCAAAGTGACAGTGCCTTATTTGTGTATTATACAACAATTTGAATTTATGAAAGAAAATACATGTTTAGATGTTAATTTTATGAATCCAGTTTAGATAAAATAATACTTGATAAATTTTATTGATTCATATTATAGAAAAATTTAAGTTATTATGATGGAGGATAATGCAACACCCTGTAAGAATATACTGGTATTTTATTTTCTTGGATTCATTAAATTTAGTTTGAACTCATCTTCAAGTCATGCATCTACGGAATAAAGTTTATAAAAAATAAGTGAGACCACTGATGTCCTACCTATCTTTCTTTTATATTCTATAGTGTAATAATATAAACACAGAACCGAGATATTTGTATAGAAATTCTTTGAAAAAAAGATGAACCTCTATCCAGAGGTCACCTCTGTATAAAGGTCACTTTTAATGGATCCCGTAGGTGACTGCTTAATACAGGTTTGACTGTAGTCATCTCTACAGACCAATAAACTCGCTTGTTGTGAATTTGTTGTTGGATGGCATAATGAGTTTATATTAGTTTATAGAGCTACATTCTCCTCCATTATGGAATTTCCCTTTTGTCCATCTGTATTTGATTCCTTTATTTATTACTTAAATAATTTGGGTTGAGGGAATTCATAGAGGATTTATAGGCTTAGTGTGTATTATATATTTTAATATAGTGGTAATAGATTTGAAAAGTGTTGTTAATCTTATTTTCATTTCTACTTCATTTCGAATTCTAGATATTTTCAAGACATAATTTACCTGTGTATATAATTTACTGTAGAGGTCAAATTCAGAAAGTCATCCACAAACAAAAACAAAGCAAAATTTAGACTTCTGTGAAATCACATATTTTCATGGGGTCAAATTTTAGAGGCTTGAAGAAAAAAATTTTGTTTTGGGAGGATTTAATTTCATGGTTTGGGAAGTGTTAAGTAGTTATGGATATGATATTTTACATTATATGGTGGACATGAATTTGTGGGTCTCTTCAAACCTCAAAAACAACAAAAATTAAACCCCCATGAAATTAGTGAAGTCACAATACATTTATATTAACACTAAACCTGCTACAGTCATAAATTCATAATTTTAAATTAATAATCCTTGGTCAACAGTGAAGTTCAGGCCCTCGTAGGATCTAGCTAGGGTCAAGATGAAGAAAATGAGATCCAGGGACTTGACATTTGCTTAAATTAAAGATCTTGATTAGGTTTAAGTCAAACCCAGAGAACAAATTTCAACACAAATTGCTTTCCATGAGATACAAATACATTGTGTAATTTTTACAACAACCAAAAAATGCATAGAAACTTTACTAAAAATGCTTAAAAATTTCTTACAATTCTCTGTAGACAGCGCTTGTAAAGTGTGTAGAGGATGACTAAGAATCACTTTGCGGTGCTGGGATTAAAGGCTGGAGCCACCGAGGAGGAAATCAGAAAGTCCTACAAGTCCCTGGCCATAAAGTACCATCCAGATAAAAACAAGGATGCAGGAGCGGAGGAAAAATTCAAAGAGATCGCTGCAGCTTATGAGTATCTGAAGAGTCAAGACAGGTGGGATTCTATATTAGATGAATCATCTCCTAAATAGAACATTGCAAATTCAGACACTGTTAATGATGCATGGACAGCTGACACAATATTTTGTTTGCATTTACCTTGCAGTTATTTACATTACTGGCGATGTTTTGTGGGAAACTCGAGGAAGTTCTAAATCTTGTGAAATTTCCTGGGCATAAAATTGTGTACACTAGTGACAATCAAATGTTTCGAACCATTAATAATATGCTGAAAGAACAATGTATTGCCAAGGTTTGCACTTACGATAATAGGTCGTATAATTTGGAATTTTAAGAATATATTATTGACTTTCAAAAGTAATGATCATCGGAAAGAAATCGTTGAAGAATTGAAATATTAGACATGTCAGAAGAATTGGCTCAGCCAAAAGCATTAATAAAAATGTAACAGAAAAAGGACTAGCTCCTCTTAAGATTTGTGAGCATGGTTCAGCGATTGATGAACTTTTCATATTTCACTATCACTTCTTTTTTGTGTGTCCTTAAAAAAGTCTAGGGTGATAGATCTTGAGATTTAACAGCACATTGTCCCCAGCTAACAGACATTTCATACTTCCAATGCAAAGGAGTTCCATTAAATTAAGTAATTACGATATCAAGTATTTTGATTTTGTGATTTTTTCATTGATAGTGAACTGTGATTTTACAGAGAGCATCTTTGAAAAGCATCCCATTACAGTATTATTACATCACAATACTTTTTCCGTGACCTTTGAACTAAGAGTTATATGCTCCTGACACATGTCTGAGTTATAAATCACTCATTTGATAGAGTTTAGGTATACAGAGGTTATTTAATTACAGACGAGAGATCTTGGAAAGAGATTTAAACAGGCCAAAAGAACAGAAAACTACAAAGGTTCCTCCTAATTTCACACACTACAGCACCAAGGAAAATAGATCAGATAAAGATGACTCGGCATATTCCAGTAAATACAAGGGAACAAGCTTCAAAACCAGGTTTGACTTCAAAGAACCACATGACTTTTCCTGGTAAATATGATTTATTTGTATTAGGGATGTCAATTTTGTCAATAATTCATATTCGAATATTCAATGAAAGTATTCAAATATATTCGAATATTCAATAAAATAAATAAAATCTGTTTTATTTTATATATTCATCATCCTACTCATGAAAGGTTTAGCGTAGGCATTCCTATACTGGAAGTAAAATTGTATGAAGACTTTTGTAGTTTTACAATGAGAAATTCCATTTGATATTTGTCAATGTTTGAAATATATAATTGATTTAAATGTAGAAAAGAATAATTTTAACAAATGAAACATGTGTATATATAGTAGCTCCAACTGAGAAACCAATCGTCTTACCAAAGGCAAGGTAGTCGTAATGGTATACTGCTCAGACTTCAATACGTGCAATAAATTACAATTATTTGTCTAATAAGAGATATGATTATAATCTTTGATACAATGTAAACAAATATTTCCAAAGACAATTTTTCTAGGTATTTAACTAATTTCCCGATAATGAATATAAAATTCAGGATTATATACAACCCAATTATGATATAATCATTTATTCTGAAATTGCATGAGCCCTTTACAATATTAATGACAGTCAAATTCTATTGGACATTCATTTGATAGATCAATTAAATTTGTTTTGATAAGAATACTCTTCACATCTTTTAGACATTCTAAGAAGGTTTTCATTTTGTTGTCCTCGATTCTAGATCTGATCGTATTTAACTAACAAAACTATGAGTAAACGTTTTATATTATACATAAAGCATTATTATACAATTCTTTAACACCTTACTCAAAACAAAATATATGTACCGGTAATTTAGTAAATCTATAAGATAAGAAAGTAGTGAAAGAAATCAGGCGACTGAAATTGATCGCTAGTAAATTAAACAAGGATAATTCCAGCACTGTTCTATCAGAATTTATTAATCACAGTACTTCTTTTTATGAAATCTGAAAAACACCGAATATTTGAATCTTAAATTCATATTCGAATATCAACTGATCGAATGAATATTCGAATGTTCGAATATTCGTTGCCATCCCTAATTTGTATATATATATATATATGTTTTCTATATTATTCCGTAAATGGTAACTTTACTGTATACAGTCTGATTTTGCTGGCAGGACTATTATCAGGTCTGCTATGAAATCACAGTTTCTAATTTTTTTTAGTGTTTAATCATTATGGAAATAATTTTCACTTCAACGTTTTGTCCATGTTTTTACCCTCAGGCAAAAAACAAAAAAACAAAAATTAAAAAAAAATAAACAAAAGTGCAGCAAAATCACTCAATATGATATACTCTCCCAGATTTTATTACATATATTTAATAAATGAGACAAAGAAGATTAAACTCCTATTTGTACCTTTTTCTCTGTTTACACTTTTTGTTTGAATAATTTGGGTTTAGGTCTCATACTGACTCAAAAGAAACCAAAGGGAAGAAGAAGAAGCCAACCCAGAAAGGTCGGCGGAAGCCCTGGAGTCAGGACTGGAATGATCCAGATGAAGATTTTGTTCCAGGTTTGTCTCGTATTCTTGGTTTAAGTAACAATATAAAATCTTAGAAATACTTGTTTCTGTATCTATGAAATATATTGTACTACCTCTATATTATCTTTGGTTCAATGGCATGTACCATGTTACACCTATATATACTACTTTCATTATTGTGCATGAAATTATGGTTAAATCATGGTAAATTCAATTCTGTGTTTGTTCATCTTCCTCTTTTTATGTCATCAACTTGCTACAGGTCTCCACATCAACACCTACACTGTGGAAAAAGAGGGCATAAGGAATATATATTTTAGTTTTGGGGTCAAAAACAAGATTATTTGTATTTCTGTTATCATTCTTGTGAAACAGTATCTCAAGTACTTCTGAAGTAAAAAGTTTTATTTTATTTTCTCTAGGGTATTCAGGTATCTTCATATCTCTTTTTCTTTAGTTGTAAGGTTATAGACAGCATTAAGCTCTATTCCAGCTTATTACATGTGGTAACCTATCCTAATTGACACATAGATTACATACATTTCCTACTTTAGATTCACATGTATTTGAAAATATTGTGTTCTGTTTTTAGGATTTGGTGATGAAAGCAGATCATTTTCGTTTGCCTTTAAGACATTTGTAGATGACCTAGATTCTCATTTCTCGATGTTCTTCAAAGCCTCAGCTCCATTTGAGTTTTCTGCATTCTATGGCAATAAGGAAGATCCCTTTGCTCAGTTCTTCTCAAGTAAGTGTACATATAAAGTCTGATTTACACAGTCATTTCCTATCTTTTTTGTGATTTTATTAATTGAGAAAAATGATTGATAATCAACTTCCAGCATATAAAGCCAAAATAGGACAATAGTATAGGCTTGAGAATTTCCCAGAAATGGTTTGAAAATATTTTGTTTTATGTGTGAAAATTCAACTGGCCCAGCTAGCTCACATAATTCTTCCTTCTTTCTGCAGGTTCAGGAGAAACAGGTGGATTTTCTAAGAAGAGAGAGAAGGATAGAAAGAGAGATGTTGCAGATGAGTATGGATTTAATGAGGATCTGAATGAAGAATTTCTGTTTTCTCCACGACAAGGGAAGTCTCGAATGTACAACCATTTCTCAGACTCTGATGAGGAACCAGCATTCAGGTTCAGCATGTCCGAGTCTGAGTCTGATCCAGGTAAAAATAAAAAGCCTTGTTTACATATGGATACAATGTACATCCATATCATTTAAAGTGATTTTTCAGTATGAAAATTTAGTCAGCCAAGAAGAGTTACGTACCTTGGTATAGTGAATTTAATGTAGAGTAGATGTAATAAAAAGGATTTTATTTCAAAACTGTCTTTTAAATATTAAGCATGAATTTTTGAATTGAGTCAAAAAATAATGTAATTGTGAGAAAAACAACAGGAGGTATGTACTGGTAACAAGTGTATTGTCTCTCATTCAGGGTTTGGCTTTTATCAGTTTTATGGTAAGGTCATACATATTTAGCATGGAAAGTTTGAGACATTGTAATTTTCATTTTGACACAATCAAATTTCTGTTTTCAAATTAAACAAACAAAATTGTGATTTTTTTTTTTTTTTAAATTTCCTTGTAGGAAACTGTTTTACAAAATTAATTATATTTGTTTTAAAAAAAAAAAGACGAATTAGTAATTTCTGAAATGAATTTGCCTGGCATGTAAAATATGTTGCCGTGAGAAAATTTAGTTAGATCGACCTGGTAATGTTTCACCAAAAGTTAGAGATCTTTGTTTGATGTGTTTGAATTTTGCATTTCTAACAAAAAAAATTGTTCACTGGTATACTAATTAAACTTGTTTATTTAAACAGGTTCAGTTCTTTATATTATTAGTCAACATTGCTTATGATCATAATATTTTTTGTTAATTTAAATATATATGCATGCAGATATTGAGAAAAAAAGCTACAAATGTATTTAAGAACACTTAGTAATGAATAGATATTATGTGGTAAGCATCCTACAGTGTGGTATTTAATAATGCATGATGGAACAACTGGAGTTAGTGATATATTTTTAAAGCTGACTGTGAAGATAGTTTCAGTAAAGACAGAAATGTTGATACTTTTTTGTACAGATGACTATGAGGAAACCAGATTTAAGTGCTCTTTCTGTGGGAAAATGTTAAAACTTGATGCTCTGGTAAGTTAAACCTCCTTAATAAGATATTTAATGTACCAATACAGAGAAGTGACATTTGATAAATTATGTAATCATAAGTGAGAAGAATTTTAAAAGTAGGTAACTAGTGTACAGGCATATATATCAGTTCACAAAATCTAATGAAACCCATACAGAGAACAAATATCTTTGTGTTTGTAATATTAAAGTTTACACATGAAATAAGGATGTGATTTAAATCTTCTGTAATTGTGGTGACTGTTTCAACTGACCCTAACATTCTTAGAGGTTTTATGATAACCTGAGCACTTTTTTTTTTTTTTTTATAGAAAACTCATGAACCTGCCTGTGGTCGCCGCCAGAAGAAAGAAGTAAACATCGACAGTGATGATGAATATTTTGACCATAATGGGTACTCCTCAAAGTATGGGCCTTCTAACATCCCTGGGGACTGGCGGGGCACCCACGAGGAGCTCCTCAGACACATCAGAAGACAACGCAGGGCAGCCAAGGCCAAGAAACGAGAGGAGGAACTGAAGAGTGATCTAGGTAATTTACTCCTCACTCTGATGTCTCAATAGGACAATTTTCTATCAGAAACAAACATTAAATTCAAGTAAGTTTACTAGTGTGGTTTTATCAATTTTCTTTGGAGTCAAATTTCATTGCTTTGGCAAAAAAAAAAAAATAATAATAATTTCTTTCATACATGTATGTAAACTCATGGACAGCTCCTTTGTTCCTATTCTGTCAGCAGTAAAATTTGTAGTTCTTTGATCTTTTGTGGTCTGGCTCAACCACGAAAATTGCTTTTCAGTAAAAAATGATGAAATTACAGTATACCATGTCGGTCAAGATTTGAAACAAATTAGTGTTAAAGTTAAAAGTATTTCCAAGCAAGCAGAGTGTTCTGTATGTTTAGGAGTTATATCTCTCTGCTGAGGGCCCAGGCCCCAGGACCATGAATCAGTCTTAAAATATTAAGTCAAAATTTGTAAATTGTCTTGTGTTTCTATTTTAGAAACCACATAGAATTTGAAATGTTGTTAAAAATTGTTTCCCATTAATGCTATTTTAATTTTCAAGAATCAGTATATAATAAATATTCATTTTTTGAATGACTGAAATTCATACTGAAGTCTAAGACTGTGTTATAGTCCAGGGGCCAAATCTCCTTATTCTTGAAATAATTCTATTATTGAAGAAAAAATGCTTTTTGTAAACATGAATTCTTAATAGTAGAGAAAATTAGTGATCCTTAAAATTTTGGGTTTTTTTTTTATTAGAACAGAGCTTCTTCACTATATATAACTAAGCAGTTGTTGGTTGATTATATTTCAGAAACTGTGGTATGTAGCTGGTGTGGGAGATCTTTCAGTAGGAAAGCTGCAGAGCGTCACATCCCTTTCTGTGAGAAATGGACAAAAGACCATGGACGGCCTCAGAGTCCAACATTTATGTACCATACAAAGAGCAAGGCAGACAGAGCCAAAGAGGTGGGAACAATTTTGTTTTAGAGAAGAATTAATGATATCGAGCTTTTGACTCTCTTACATGCATGTAAAAACCTATGGCGAATTGCTGCATATGATTATACATGTACAGTATTATGGTCCTATACTTTCCCGAAACATGATGATAAAGTGACTAACTTGATGATCAAGTTGTCAAGTAATTAAAATCAATTTATAATATTATGTATTTAATGTAATATACAGTCAAACCTGTCATAGCGACCACATGTATTTATATATTAGTGACTTCCTTTAATAAGAGACCAAATAATTTCTTCCCTAGAGTTTTTCATTATAATTCAGCAACTCCCAGTCAGCAACTCCATGCCACCATCATTTTTCGTCCCAAAGCATTTTTAGACTGAATTTAGTGATTTTCACCTCTCCTTTTGATAACAAAAGTTATAAAATGCTTACTTTTTTGTCCCCCCCCCCTTCCCCCCCATTCCCACTTTGCAGAAATATATTTGCAAAAACATACTCATTCATGGAGTTTATCACAGTGTGTGACTTGGTATCAAATAGAAACTTACATAAGTAAGAAACATTCAAAAAGTATGTATAGGTTAACATTAAAATTGTTTCAACAAGAATTGGCCAAAATCTGTGTATATTTGTGCATAAAAAAGTTGTTGATTTTCCTTCTTATTATATCACCATGTTTTGTTTTTTCCCTTTTGGGCATAATCTTGTTGTGAGTGGTTTTATCCCTAACAGTATCATTAAAGTGTGAACCAAATTTTAAAAAAAAAACACAGTTTTTGTATCTTCTTACAAAAAATAAATATAAAATTTTATTTATCTTAATTCTTTTGGATATTTTGAGGCAATGAAGCATGGAAAGGGACATGATAGATAAATTTATCGGGTATTTTAAGGACAAAATTGTTTAAAATTGAAATTGCATTATGATTTTTTGTAAAGAGTGAAAAAAATATTACTGGTATATCCAGAGAGCATGAAATGATTTTAATTGATTTCTTTACAGTACTCAAAGAAAGTCCCCAAACCCAAAAGACATCGAACTCCCCATGAGGAAAAGGATTCTCCCCCTACAACAAATAGGAGTAGGAGCCGCCCCACCAGCTACCCTGACCTAAAGGACCCCCAACCAAAACAGAAAGGTCGGCATCTAAAGCTTACTTTGACTGTGGAAACATGTGTAGGCCTTATTTATGTTTTATACTTTGCATACAGGAAGAAAGTAATGACTCCATGACTTTTAATAGTCATTGAAATCTGCAAGTGTCTGAGAATGTTAGGATTTAATTTTCCAAAATAAGCCTTTTATTCACTTCTCAAGATATATTTTTTAATAAGGCTTCATCAATTTCTGTTTAAAAGACAAAAAGCCATTAGTTAATTGTAGTAAAATGTTTAGGTGCCGTTGTGGGATTTTGTTTCCCTTCATCAATTTTGTCTCCCTGAGCCTTGCTTAGTTAAATTTGAACAATTAAGATATAGCTTTGCTAATTCTCTTCATGTTGGCTGTTAACTATATAGAGTAAATTATAATGTGGTGATATAGAAGTGTTAATGATAGAAATGTTGGTTATTTTTTGTAAAAATCAAACCAAATTCACAAACAGACAAGTGCTTCTTTTGCTAGTTTGAAAAAGGACTGAATTGTTGAAGAATACATAGATAATTGTATTTCAGTGGCTAAGCCACTTTTCAGTAAACAACAACCAAGCTTTGTTCTAATTTGTTTTCAGAGAAACATTTTCCAACATCCAGTACTGGGCTGCATCCTGCCACTCCAAGGTCATCATACACCCCGAAGTCTACAAGCCACACCCCCAGAAATCATACCCCCAGATTCAAATCAGATGCTGAGTGAGTAAATCTTACCCACATTTTTGTACATGTACAAAACATTTTTTTTAAGCAAATACAGATTATTCTAGATGCCTCGGAAATTCGTCCAAGTAAAGGAAAGGTGCAGCTCTCAATTTTATACCAAATTTAATCAGTAAAGGACTGCATATGACGGCATTGTTTCCCTGCTTACATCCAAGTTAATTTTGAAAAGTTATCATAGATTGATCAGGATTTGACACTAAAGCATGTCAGATGAACCCAGTCTGGTAAATAGTCAGGCCATGTAAAATATATGTGAACCAGACTTACTGGTCATGTGGATAACATAAATGTAAACTTCCCCATTTCAGTCTTTTGAATAATTATTCTAGAAAATTTTAAAGAAATTTTCTCATTTGTCGATTGTAAACTGCCTATATTCAAAACAGTAATTTCTAAAACTATTCCAATGCCACCTTTCTGATAGATGCCTAAATATATGACATACAAGTCTTCATCACAACTGTGTGCTAAATAGTGACCTTTATCGATGTAAGGTGATTCGGAGTCCCCTGTGCTCTTGATTATTTCTTTTCATTTAAAAAATATACACAAGCCAGAACAGATTTTTTGACAAATTTTGGTGAATGGAGAAATTATATACCATTGATACTCACACTTTATTTTTGGAGAGGAATCCTTAACTGCTGCTGAGAATGAATACCATTTTTCGCTCACCTGAGGGGAAAACTCAATTGACCTTTTCTGATGACATTTTGTCAAATGTCCATCTGTCCATCTGTAAACTTTCCACATTTTCAACTTCTTCTCAAGAACCAGTGGGCCTTGCCACAAAGCTTGTTTAGGTGAAGGGGATTCAAGTTGTTCAAATGAAAGGCAACACCCTCTTTCTAGGGGAGATAAATAAGAATTATTGACAATTTGATGGCATTTTCAAAAAAATTCTACTGGGCCAAAAAAGTTGAAACATATTTTAAACCTTCATCACAAGTTTGTTCAAATCTTTACCCCCAGTGGTAGGGTGGGGCCACAATGGAGGATTAAAGTTTTACATAGAAATACAGTATAAAGGAATAAAATTCCATTTTACAAGTTTGCATTTAAGTATACTTTAATAGCAAATTTTTCAAATATGTGTGTGTAACATGTCAGGAATTGAGAGAATATGCATAGTTCTTTACTGATTTGAACCTCAGACTTCTTGAACTCTCTAGAAGAATTTCCCTACTAGTAAAGGCACACTTAAGTTTGACTTGTAAAAGAACATCCAACTACATGGTTATCACAAGCCTTTAAAACTCATGGAATTGATGATTTATAACTAGAGTGTTCCAAGGAACACATGTGTTGCCTGCTTTATAGCATCATTAAACATGTAAATAAATCTAAGAGTGGTCAGCTATTTATTTGCTACTAGTACATGTATCCACATATAGAAATACTTCAATAGAATGGTAATTATTGTATAAAATGTGACAGTTAAATAAAATACTTCGGTATATGATTCCCCAACCTTACTCAAAACTAAAATGAATAATGAAATTGAAATTTTTTAGAAATAATTATTAACCAACAATCCCCTAGATTTTTGACTAGAGAGAGATTTCGGACTGTCTTTACTGCAATTGTCAATCTACAATGTTATTTGAAGTGCAGTCTATTTTGGTATATCTTTCCCAGTGTATTTTCATAGTATTTAAATTTCAGTTTGTATATTATATAGTTTCAAAGTACAGTGTCATGAGCTCATAATCATGTGATACATACTGGTATGCTAGTTACCGAAACTCAAAATTCAAAAGACAACTTTTAAATTAACTATTTGAAGTATTTTTGAAAATGAGGTCAAAGGTCAAGGTCAAGTGGACTGTCATGCTGGAATTTTTTTTTATGACAGTGCAGATGCTAAATAGCACAGACTTACCTCTTAAATGTAAAAAATCAGCTCCATGAATTATTTTGAAAAGTAGGTAAAAGGTCAAATTCAAAGATCATGACGTGGGTAACCATAGTATTTTACAAAAGCTATAGAGCCAAGCTATATACGTGCAAAATATTAAATCCATACCTCTTACAGTTTTCAAAATATTAGGTTTGACAGACGGATGGACGGACAGACAGATGCATGGTAAAGTGATCCCTAAGTGTCACTCTGCTCTGCAGCCAACACAAAAATGAACTTGTATAAGCAAATTCCTGTTTTTCAGTAAAATTTCTTAGTAATTGGTGATCATGAAATCTATGAAATTTGTTGATTAATTAAAGATGACACCTTATCAGTAAGATTTATTTTTAAATGGATGTGTTTTGGAATGATTCAATCATAAAGTATCACTCTTTTGTAAATGTGAACAGGCCAGCTGATCAAATCGTATGCAATTTTGATTTTTATTTATACAGTATAAAATGATTCTGAAAGCATTCCCAAGTTTGTGCCTTTTTCTTTTCTAGGTCCAAACAAGGCACCACTACAGGGGCTTACTTTGGAGTGTCTGGTTCTCAGTTTGGTGCCAAAAATTCCAAGTACGGAGGAGGGCTTAAAGGTTCCTCAGTTCATGGAACAGGGGTCAAGGGGTCAAGTACGAAGGGGACAGGAATATACCATAAACCTACTCATGTTAAATTTGCTTCATAAATCCCACCATTTTACGAGCTAAGGTGCACCAGAACTTCATTTCTTGCACTGCAAGTAATGATTAAAGACATTAATAGGAATGAAGAGAAAAGAGGATTTTTTTTTCTTTAAGCTTCATATTTTTGGTGAAGTATTGGAAGATTCAGCTGTTGTTTTAGCAGCATTTATAAGAGGGAGGTATTTCGACATTATCTGCACATTGATATTATTTTTTTCTCACACTTTATGTAACATCAACCTCTTTGTCTGTTGCTTGCCTTTTTTTTTGATACATGTATCAAATTTTATACAAAGTTTAGATAAGTTGCAGTCAGTAAATATTTTTGGTTTTTATATATCATTTTAGAAATAGTAGTGATTTTCCTTACACTATATAGTCTTGTATGATCCTGAATTATTATTATTATTATTAATATTTTTTCCCCATCAGGGTTAGGGTTAGAGTTTTATTGGAAAATTGTCCAATATTATTTTTTCCAAAACTGTTCCATATACTTTACAAATATATAATTTGCCCTTACCTTAAGTCATTTCTGCTTCTTTTAAACTGATGTAATATTATTTTTCCTGGTCTTGAAGTTCCCTGTTCAAACTGTCCCTGTTCAAACTGTCAGGGGGGTTAAAATATAGGGATGGTTGTATATTTCTTACTTTACAATATATATGTACAATCTCTTTTACATATGACTATGAAGGATTATAAAAATAGAAGTGCAATAACTGAAGTAGTGATTTGTAGGTCTTGTTGATGAAGAATTTAACTGATTTAACTTTTTTCAATTTACCACTGATACATTTAGTCTTTCTTTGTACTCTTTGTTGACGTAATTTTATTCTGTAAATTAATGTGTCTTCCAACCATGAATTTATCAGTGCCGTAATTTAAGATTTCATTTCAATAATTGAGGTGAGGCTTTATCTATATATAAAGAATTGGAGACTTTGTGTTCAGCTAATTCTGTTAAATTTATTATCATTTCTAAAGAAGTGTGATAAAATGTCATATTTACATGTATATACAGGATTTTGTAATTTGCATGATGTGAACTTATTTTATTATATAAATATTATACAAAAGGATCGAACACAAGTTCTAACAACTTACCGGGTTCTCACCTTAAATGGTTACAACTGTCAAAATATCCGTAGAAAAACTTTGATATACAAACAGGCATGTTTTATACAGACATTCATTACAAGTTTAATGTATAACTTATTTGAGTTCTGGTGTTAGGCAGTAATAGTTAAATAAATATTACAGAATCTGTAGTAAATTTGTGTACATTGCACTGATTGAAAAATATATTGATTGAGTTCAACATTTTTTGATTCATCTCCCCACAGAAGTAGGTGACAATCAATAATAATTATTTAACTTGCTTATTTCATTTGACACACACACAAAATAATAATAATAAGTAGCTCTGAGACTTAAAATGAAGTTATGCTTATTTAAATGATTTTTCTAAACAACATTTACAAAAAACATTGATCATATAGTTATTTTGATGATGTGCTACAGGTAATTTTATTGTGGAAGTTTTTGCACTCAATTATCAACCAAGATTTACATTTGTATTACTGAAATCTACAGGAATGTTCAACTCCACCTTTTTTGTGATTCCAAAGTTATAAACACCAAAATCTAAAATTATACCCTTCTGGATGCCTGGGAATGGTCAGTTATCGGTTAATTTTGGAATTGTAGATTTTACAATATAAAAATCATACTTTGTTGATTCATATAAATTTTAGGGAAAAAATTATGTTATGACAATAAGACAGTTATTTTCTTCAATTTAACCACTAACTAATTTATTAACAGTGCAAATATATGACAACTAAACCTTGTATTTAAAACTGCCATTTAATTTTCAAAAGATTTTACGTGACATACACAAGTCCGGAAAGTTAATTAATAAATACTTAATTGATTTATATCTTTCTTTAAATTCTAATTAATTTATTCCCAACTTCTTATTCTAAATTTTCTTTATTCCAACATGTAGCTACCTCAGTATTACATTATTCAGTTAGATAGAACATATTTTCCCAGGTTTAACATGTATAAATGTTTTTAATTTCTGCAGTGTTGTAGATACTGAGAGGATTTTTTTCCCTCTGAGAATGTAAAGATGTTCGGTTTTCAAAATGAGATGTTTAGAAGTGCTAATTACCTGTGTTAAATACCTGCACACTTTGTGTGATTTACATACACCTGTGATACACCTGGTTTTGTCCTTTTTGTGCTTATTTTCATTTTCTCATCCGTCCATTTTACGAAATATATTTTACCAGAATCTTTTACACAGTGATAGGGAAAACTGAATGAAGGATGTGAAGCAGCAACTTTCCCCTGTAGATTACTTCATATGTATTTTTTGAATATCAAAATTAGTCAATTTTCTTGTTTTACACACACGAGTGATATTGTTTTTGTTACTGAAATTCATTGTTGTTTTTTCAATAAATGGGATAGTTTCTAATTATTTGGTTTTGTTTTAATCTAGACAAAATAACGTATGTGGTTAGAGTGATTGTGTTAGTGTGAAGAAACCTTAAGACTCAGACAGTGGCAAGCATAATCTATTTAAAGTATTTTTAATTTATTATATTCAGCATGATCAGAGTATTTTACTTTCTTGTAGACCAAACATCCGCTTGGGGGGGGGGGGGGGGATCGGAACTAACAGTTGGCAATGTTTAGTTTATAGATACTGTCAGGACAGGTGAAGAAACAAGAAAACTTTCTTATGATTAAAGATCTTTTAAGTGACAGCCAGTAATATTTTACCTAATAAAATTCGTTTTAGCTGAACTAAGTCAAAGACTGCATTATAATTTACAAACAAGCATCACAAGTCCCCGTCCATAATCCTCCCAGGGAGCCGAGATCTGTCTTCATCTCCCCTCGCTACACTCTCATCGTGTCCAATCAATTCTGCTTAATTAAGACCTACACTGTCCTTCTGTCTCATCTTAAAATGGGGCGAAAAATTAACAGAATTTGTTAATTACTGAGTGGGGATTCATACAGTTTTGAAAATAACCCAGTGTTCTGATTTATTAATTAGGATTTTCTTTTGATGATGGAGGAGTACAGTTAATGCTAATTGTTTATTTATCTATCATATTGTCCCATGTCAATACGTCTCCTTTTTCTGGCAGTAAGTGTTAAAAAAGATAAGAGAGATAGATAAAGATTTATCTATATGTTTTCTGGTTGTCAGTATAGAAAGCTACTGGAACCGTTATCCCTGCAGGGCCCAGTCATAACACAGAAATACAAAACAACAATATCTATGATCAAGTGTCACTTCTCTGTGTATCGTTTAATTATTTTTTCTTACATTTTTATAGATCAAATGATAAAATAATTCCAACTGAAAAGAGGTCGCTATTGTGTCAAAGAATTCCATAACATTCTTAGAATTAACAAAGTATATAGAAAAAAAATCTCCACTTTTTGTTTATTTTAGTAAGGGGATTAAAAATGGAATGCGTGAATTAAAATACAGATTTAATCACATATTTGTCTCTTCTATTAAGGAGCCGACAAAACATTTTTCTGGAAAGACACCAAAAAACTAAACTCTACATCTGATTTAATGAATCATATCAGAGTTTTATAGATATGTCACTAGACTGACCCAGTCTATCCCTCGTCTCACCCTGTCCTGAACAAACGTGTTTTATTATTCCTTACTAAGTCCATAGTTTCTCCGTTATCTTCGATACAAAAACAAGAATTTAAATCTGTTTCAATTTTTTAATACCGGAATTTTTTCAAGATACCTAACAAAACCCGACTGTGTTCAATTATTTTACCTGCAGGACCTGATCAGATGATGATACTATTAAATAATAGTATTATTAACCTGTGTGTATTCATTGCTGGGGATTATGCTCCTAAATCCCGCCAAAAAAATCGGATTAAACGAAAATGACGAATTTGAGGTTCAACTTCGGTGGCCAAACAACAAGTCCCTATAGATGTTTTAAGCGACTCAATAACAAAGTATAAATTTCCTTATTTTCTATCGCTCAAACAAAAGGATCTTCACAATATTCAGTAATGAGTATGTTCTTTTGAATTGGAAATATCGATGGCTACTGATCGTTGCATTGTAATCGGATCGGGCTCAGGGTTTATGGTGCGAAAAACGCCCATAAGTCGTCCGCCCATTTTCGCGAGACTGTGTTTCTCCAAAAGAACTTGAAAAAGGACCGAAATCGATTACCATCCATTTTTCGCACATAATTAGGGAAACGGGGAAGGAAGGGTCATTCCCATAAAATGAGGAGTTTTCAAGATAATTTGTATTCTTTTTCAAAATAGTAGAATTAACATCATTCTTAGAAATAATTTTGTCTAGATAATTATAAAAACTAAATTTTAAATATTTTTTTTATTTGCATGTAAGAGAGATGCTTGCAGTTGGTACTCCTAATTCTAGTTTCCACGTATCTTCGGAACAATTAATTAATGTATAAACGTGCGATGGAATTTTCACAGTCTGAATATTGTTTATTAAGACATCAGAACCAGAACCAATATACAGACTGTGAACATTTTATCGCACGTACATACTTAATTGTTCAAGATACATGGAATGTCAAATCTTAACTTCATTTTACGGTCCAAAAGGTGTTTTCAAGTGTCAAAGGTCGTGAAGAAGGCATTATCACCCAGGGGCGAGGCGCTGGATCTCCGACCTGCCTATCCTCGATCCATTGTAGATTTCACAGATCGATAATGTATAGATCTCACAGATTGCTAGCAATATTGTTCCCCCACTTAGCACGCTAATAGATTTATTGACTCTTATTTTGTTTATATGGGGAAAACTAATTTTTTTATTGACTTCTTGGTGTATTATGTGTGAGAGAGAAATTACATAATTTTCCACCTAAGTTTTAATTTTAAAATTTGGACTAAAGTGTGAAAAAAATAAATGAAAAGAATTTTATCTTTCTAAATTGACAGGTAACAGGTTACTAACTAACTGCATGATTAATTAGAAAAAGAAAAAAAAGCAAAAACAATGTGTTTATCTTCAAAAACAATTTACGTACATGCACAATGTTGTGCCCCCCCCCCCCCCCGTGCCTTGTTTTAATTTCTTGTACACATTAATAAATATGCTTATTTTAGATATACAGGAAATAAGTAAGAAAAATTTCATTGGGCAATTGATTAGGTATTTTTGGAGTGCATGGACATTTTCTAGTGGTTTGAGTACTGTATTGTACCCGGGATGGGTTTTGCCACACATTATGTTTCTGTTTCCTGCTGGGGTATCATTGTATTCATCACAATGGCCGCAGTTTTTATTCTACAACCCTAATCACTTTATAAAATTTCACTCTCAAATCAGTAAGGTTCTAGCTGATTTTCTTTTGCCCGTGTGGCGTGTGGTATTTCTTTGTGGGGCTTTGCTATATGTCAGGCGGATGTCAGAACCTTGTGTCAAATGATTGCAGCATTAACTCGGACGTAACCGAGAAGATCCAGGCTGGTCAGAATTTATGGGGGTCACGCACAATGCACTGTTTGTTCCCCCTCCCAGCGGGAGAGCAGAGTGGGCATAGCTCACGGTGTGGTCAAGAAAATCCTCTCGCCGCTCAACATTTGTTCTGATACCTTCTTTAGTTAGAATGAAAAGGAGAAACTAATCTTCTTCTTTTTTTCAGCAGGAAAAAATAACGCAGTAAAAACATAACATATAAAAACAAAACTTATAAACTGATATGCTGAAAGCTCGTTATACTTAACTAACTTGCACAAATTAAGCATGGACTTTTACTGAAAAAACAGTGTGATAAGATTTATTTACGTGTATTCTAAACGGTAAGATACCTTTTGAATTATTACATATATGAAATGGATGATGCGGAATTGCCGTGTCAAAAGTATGTCTTATTAACGTCAAACTCCGCGCGCTGCAAGAACCGCATGTCGGGACCGACCACTCCACTTAAAATACATATTGATGAGGTGTCAATTTAATATTCATCGGGCCAAGTTATCAAAAATACATTTAGGCACTTATTCATACATTATTTCAAATATTATATATCCAAAACACAAACTATTCCGAAACTTTTTTTTTACTTGATTTTGCTCCAACCATTTTTAACATTTTCAGATTCTGTCAAATATTAAATCACGTGGACCTCAATTGATTTTAATCGTTAGAAGAATATCTATATTTCCTTTTTTGAGCAAGCAACAAGTTAACACTGCCCAATTACAGATTTTATACAAAACATTTAATTTGTTTATTTATTTGATTATTTATCTCAGATGTGTTGATTTTTTCTCACTTCGATGTTACATGATTTTCCTGTCACAGAAATAAAATATTCGAAAGTTAAATCTCAGGCAATGTTGATCAAATATTTGACAACAATATTTTTAACAGGATAATTAAATATTCAGTTATTGCTTTTCCCAAACATATTAGCTAAATATTTTTTTCTGGTAAATTAATGATAGGGCAATAGGTCGCTATCTTTCCATTCAGCCGTCACAAATCGAAAGTGCCCCCTGCAGCGCGAGCAACAAGTTGAAGGGAACTTGTTTGACCAATCAGGGGGCGGGATTTCGGATGCGGCCTGATTACGTCACGGGGATAATGAACCACTACTGGACAGTGGTCACAACTAATAATGAAGTAAGTTGGAGATAATTTTCCCTCTGGCCGATCTTTGACGCAGAATAAAAACTCACTGGAGGAAAACACTTCTTGTCAAAACTTTTTCAATCTTTGAATAGTGACAATTGTTACATGGGCCAGAAGTGAAGTTCATTTTTAACTTTCACCCCATGTTACTTTGGACATCCAAATCATTCGGCCGTTGAGTGAGACATTAATTGTACTTGACGAATAATGAACAATTACCCGAATTTCTTTCCTGCAAAAATATCTTCTTAATTTGGCTAAAAAGTGACCAAAGCCTTTCAATAATTTATTAGAGGATGGACACCTATATTTTAATTCCGGACGAGTTTGGGTTGGTCCTGACCCTTCACCCAAATCCTTCCAATATCCTGGAAATGTCTGTGGCGATCTGGAGCAATGAATTCGTCCCCCAGGGAACCAGCTTCTATCCAGACCACGGGAAAGTTCGCTTAGAAAAGCTAGAAGTCTATTCCAAACTCCCTGCAGATGATGTAAGTATATATCTTAATAATATTAATTTTAAGTATTTTTTAAGCTTTCAGGAGTATTAAAATTTCATGCAGTTTGTATGATTTGAAATATACATGATAAAGTTAATTTCATTTATCAATAAATAAATGATCAAAAGGAATAAAAATCAAAAGAATAAACTTTTAAAAGTATACATTTATGGAGAATGACGAATGCTAATTCTAAATTTTTTAGAAATGACCTTTTTTTAATTTTGTAAAAACGGATATCTAAATGATTGTAAATTTTTATTCAAATTAAGTTTTATGCTAAATAACATTTGACAAACT